CTATCGGTCTGATAGTTGCCCCTTGGAAATTTGATGTTCTTAAAACTAGCATATTTGCCCTCGAAGCTTCGCTTCTCGGGCAAATATTTGTTTTAAGGACATTCCGCGGGGCAACTATCAGCCGATAGTTCCTCGACAGAAACACTCTATTGTTTAATTAGAGTGCAGTAGCTGTTGATCGCCCACAAAATGTGACCTTTTTATCGTTTTTCCAAAGTTTTGGAAGAAAATTTAGATGTAAATAGATAATTAAATTCCTGTGACGACTGAAGAAAGGAAATTGATGGTTTCTTGCCTTTAAAAACTTGAAACTATTGACAAACCTGGTGCACGTGCATAAACAACTGCAAAATTACCAAGGACAATTCAATACGTGTGATTTTGTTAAAGCCTGAAGTTCAATAATGCGGAGAAAAATAATTGGAAACCGTTATTTACATTAATTTCAGTTAGAATTCTACTAAAACAGATTATTCGCTCTCGCTTTCTATGAGGTGTTAGTTGATTCAGCCTTTGGCCTCATCAACTATCACCTCAAAGAAATCTCGAGCTCATAATCTAATTGTTAAATAGTCATTGGACCGAGTGGAGTACAATTCAGGGAGTAATTGCTTGAGTAATTTCAAAATCAGACCATTATGAGGCTGATTTGAAATTATGAGCATGGTTACTCCCTGAATTGTACAACGCGAGGTCCAATTACTAATTAATTGTATCTATAACAAATTCTGGAATTAAAAATGTCTTTTGAGAACTTTTTTTGAGCGAAAAAATCTGTAATGCTTTTCATAAGTTTTAAAAAGCGTAGGAAGCAGTGCGAAGGAAGCCATTAAAGTGTACCTAATTGATGTCTGAATCATGTGGGTATTCAATTAAAGGTATCCAATTACGAAAAGTTCAAACTGGATACCTGTAATTGGACAACCACGTGATTGCGCACCAATTATGTGACAAATAGGCGTGCAGAGAACCAATCACGAACAAGAAATTTGTTATAGATACAATCAATTCTGTAATCAAATGATGACCACAAAATGCATCAATTGTGAAGTTGGAGTCCAATATTAATCTCTTTTAACACAAACATGATGACAGACAACTGGACAACACAAAGTCCAGCTACAAATAAACCATAACCATAAGACAATCCAAGAAGAAAATGCCAAAAAGCTGAACAAAAGTTTAGCTTCTTGGGGAATAAAAGTAGACAGTCAAATTGTCTTGGAGATCCATGAAAGGACCACATTCAAGATCAACTTGAAGACAGTGAACATGAACATACACCAACAACGTGTATCATGAATAACACTTAAACTGTCCAACTAATGCTCAAATAGTGCCTACTAACAACCAATCATATTCAACAATTTTGTCATGGTCATGATTAACATCAAAAAGATATGTTTGCAATTGGACTGAGCTGCTTTATTAAACCCATAACAAGGTGCCTGGGTCCTATTTGTACAATCCTAGTCCTCAATTTGTTGTTGTAATTCGCTTTTGTTCAAGGACAATTCATCCTAATTGTGGTCAGTGTTGTCAGTGGGGGATCAAACGAAAAGAGTCAATGAGAGTTTGGCCCATGAGCAGGGTCACCTTTGGGTCACACATGTGAGATAGAGCAGCAAAAACAAGTCAGTGACAACACTTGTTATAATAAATTATCTGTTGATAGATGATTTGAGTGGACAGGCACTGTATTTCAGTAGCTTACCTCAGCATGACTTTCACAGAAAGGAGAGAAACTGCCACTAAAATTACTACAATTACTACAATATTACACAGACCTCCCCTCCTGAATAAGAAATCAACCACACACTAGAGCCTTGTGCAACTACGGTTACATGTGAAAAATAGCTTTATTCTATATATGAAATAAAAATTACAATTCTTGCATGTATAAATTATCTAAGATGAGTCAGTGTATATAAACGGTGCTAGCACTTTGGGTTGAGAAAATGTTTTCCAACAATCTGATGGTCAAGGATTCTTTAGTTTTGTTGAGATTGGAAGTTATAAGAGTTTATGTTCAGTCTAAAATGCCAGCCATACATGGTCATATATAAGTCAAAAAAAGTAAAGCCGTAAAAGTGATGATGTGAGATCCTTGGATGAGCAACATATATACTAACAGCCTGACAGATGGGGTATCCTAAGCTGATGAATGTGATCAGTGATTAACTAGTTGAATTCTTGCTGAGATATCTTCTGCAGGTTTTGACACTGTTCTCCCATTCAATATGTACACGTCATGGAGCGGCCTGAAAAGTGTAACATCAAAAATATTTGAAAAAAATAGTGTCAACCCATGGTAATTTTACACTAAGCCCAACTTACAGCACTGTAAACCATCGCCACTTCTTGTTATTTAAAAATATTAATTAGTGCATTTCAATTTATCAATCCACTGTCAATTAATTTTGTATGGATAAGGAGCTGAATTAGTAACTAACAATCCATCATACTATTAATAGTTCTAATTTTATTGTTTTTGAGTGGTAATATTATTTGAAGGCCTGGTTATTTATTTAATTTTGGGGAGATCACCGCTAGGGTCTTTGGGATCTAATAGAGGCATGAATAGTTGTTTTGTAATTTACCCCCAGGGAGGCATAACTTAATTTTAGTGGGAGGGGGTTACTTCCAAAATCCATGGTACACATATATCAAAAACAAAAAGATAACAATAAACGAATGATTCATTGAGAGAGACCTGTCACCAGGGTCTGTTTCAACAAGTCCTATTCTTTTCACCACAACCATTCCATCGCTGATGCGACCAAATATTGTATGTTTACCTGCAAGAAATTGATGTACAAACTTGTATAAAATATTTTTATCCTATACAGACTTACATTCACTGAGGATCTGACATAAGAGAAGAACTGAAAAGAGCATTGATTACAAATCCAAGCTCACTGCAGATGAATTCAACTTCAATGTGGACTAGGTGACCTGAGAACTACCTTTAAGTCAATGAAGGAGCAAGACAGTTGTACATGTTGGTACAGCTCTACATGTGCATCATAAAAACCCAAACCTAAAATATTTTTGAGTTTCAAAGAATTGCCTTCAGTAACCTTATTCCTCCTTTATCAGATGGTTATGTAATTCAAAAGCAGCACGGCCAAGTGTTCAAAGCGAGTGGTTCATAAGGTCTCCACTCCGGATCAGCTAGTACTACAGCTGCAGTTGGTATCTTTATTGTTGCTGACTTTGTATCTTTCCTTGTCTGCCAAACACTTACCATCAAGCCACTGTGTTGGAGCCAGTGTAACAAAGAACTGGCTGCCATTTGTGTTTGGACCGCTAAAAAAAGTAAACAAAATAACAATACAATCGTGTATTCAAAATCTACCTTCTGTAGAGAGAAATAATTATTGTAAGACTTAATAAGCCTACCTACATGTATACATTGTATATTATCCTAAGTGCTGTAATTTGGCAAACCTTAAACTTTATAAAATTGTGTACATATAACATGGTACAATGTCTTAAAATAGTCTCATTAAAACGTATTTGATTCTCTATAGTCACTGATAAAAATAATTAATTTCAGGAGTTTCATTAACATTTTCAACAGGAAGGCAATTGGTTTTCACAGACAGGCAATTAAACTTCTTTTCATTATGAACTGAACTTCTCTATGAGGAACAATTTCCTCCAGATGGTCAAACCAGGTAGGAAAAATATTGGCCTCACAGCCGGTCAATTTGCTCGATGCCCAGCCCTTAATAACACCCCTATATTTTGATTTATTAAGAACTTAGTAATAAAAGAATATTGTTGCCATGGTTACCTATTTGCCATTGAAAGGATTCCAGCTCCAGTATGTTTTAAGTCTCTTGTAATTTCATCTTCAAATGCAGGTCTGTGTATTGAGTAGCAAGTTTAACATTTAGGACTCTACTAAAAGATTGCTCATCTGACCGTGCATCTCAAACCAAGCAAGAATGAACTATAAGAAGGATCTGGTTGCTCCTGAATAGCACAAATATGATAGATCATGCAGTATATTTTGCCTGACTACAGGTAGTTAATCAGAAATAAAACAAGGGAGCCTTTGCTCACAGTATTTGCCTTATAGGCAGCCATTACAAAGTGACTGATATTGTTTCTTTATGTGTTTGTGGCTAACAGATACTTAATGTACAACTTTACAAATATTTCATGATACATAAAGTATTGATAATATACTATGTACAATATTTAAAAAAACCCACATGATATCATGCAATATTCATCACATGCAGTAACATGTATTTAAAGCCACTTTTTACTGCTTATAATGAACTTGTAAGGTGCATGGGGAATTTAAGAGACCAAACTAACCCATAAATAGATGCTCCTCCTCGACCAGTTCCCGTGGGATCTCCAGTTTGAATCATAAAATCCTACAAAGTGACAAATATTTAATTCACCCGATAAATAAACTAATACTAAATAAATACCGGAACACATTAAATTATTTCAAACAGGATTTTAGAATATGGGAACTGAACAACAGATTTTAATAAATGTGCATGCATACAGGCAAACTTTCAAAGGCTTGTGACTGGCCAAGTTTTCTTTCAGAATTTGACCAATAAGCAATAATTACATGGTTTCCCATTTATAGCACAAGACAAAGAGCACACTAGTAGTTCACTGTCACAAGATGATACATGTGACCATTATGCACTCTCATTATCTAGTAAAACATCATGATTATGACGCATGTACCATGCTTAAAGAAAACTTGCCATTTCTTGAATGTTGAACATACCTTTATGATTCTGTGAAACTTGCAGTTATTGTAATATCCTCTTTGTGCCTAATAACAAATTCATAGCAGGTTATGGCAATCTCAATTTAGCAAAGATAATAATTATGCTGTCAAACACTTTATATAAGGTACAGCAACCACAACAGCAGTAAAAATGAATTTCTGCTTTATAAACATATCTTTAGTTACTAAAACTGAGATCCATTTAGTTTGTCTGTTGTTGTTTTTAGGGCAATCACACTAGACAGTATTCAATGCCAAATACATGTAGAAACTTGAAAAAAAACACTGTTAGTAACAGTAAGTTGTGGATCACAATCTTATTTCATGTTCTGCTGCTTTGTAGGGAATAGAAAAGAAATATGTGCTAGGATACATAAATGTAACACAAATGCACAGCCATTGTACGGCACATCTTTAAGCATTGAAATTAATTATACTGATATATGTATGCATCTTGCATGAGTGAGGCAAAGGGGAGAGGAGGGTTGTAAACATGTTTCACACACCAACTTCAACAAAGTTTGTGCGTCACATGAATTAATATAATGCTTTTAGCTTTTGTTGATTGTATAAATTGATGAATCACTGAAATACATTGTTTGTCATTCAATTAAATTTCACGCATCCCACACTAACTTTTGCCCTCAATGAGCACACACAAACCCTTTGCTACCCTCTTGTAGTAGGCAAGATGGGTGTAGATGCTCCAACTTCAACAGCTTTAATTAAGAAATAGAAAACATGTACTGTGTTTATATTGAGTTAAAGAAACACAAGTGGAAGTTTGGGGAAAAAAGAAATGCTGTGAGAACGAGCCGACAACCCTGTGTTTCCACAGCTTTTTTGAGTTAAGGAAGCATCAAGCTAAGGAAACATCAAGAACTCACCAATTCTGTAAAATTTCTACACGTCTTAGGAGCATGTTTCCAGTATAGTTCACACACAATTTCACCCTGGATAACAAGGCAAGATACATAAAAAAATATTCTTGTTAGTATTAGGTTAAAAATCATGTACATTGCTCGAGCACTTTCCTCAGTTTGTGGTCTTAAATCTGATTCTATCTACAAATGTAACATTATCAAGTTTCAGACTCTTCTAATCATTGATAACCTTTACGCGCTTTCAGATTCACGCACAGTTGGAAGGATGGAAAAAAAATTCTTGGACAATGTTGTTGTCAAATAAGTCTTAAAACAGTCTCATTCTTGCTTACTTGTAGCTTTTTACTGCTAATAAGCTTTACAAATGTATGTCACACTCACGTCACATGTCGAATATGGGATGTGATCGATTGCACATAACAGAAAGTTTACGGGTAAATTTTCAGCATTGAGAAGGAGATATGCCCAACGATAATTACTGAAACAAAAATTTTTCCCGAATATTTGTTGTAAAGCACCAGTTATCGCCTGTAGGCCAACTTACCATTGACGTTTCCAAACAGATTGAAGCAGGTTCAGCCGCCATTTTGAAATGCTGGTGGATTGAAAAGATTTCTGGGTAAAAGGTACCTATTACGGATTTGCTCCCAAGTTCCCAAGAAAAATGGTCCTAATGAGCCAATCAGAATCAAGAATGCGATGTTTTCTCTCGTGCCTCGAGATTCCCTAACAACGACACGCGAGACAAGTTATGTTGAGTCCTTCAGCAGGGAAGATGACATATTAACTCCAGCTTGGTCGTTCTGATGGTTTTTCCACGCCGTGGAAAGTGTACGTTCACGAGACGGGATCTGCTGGCGTTTAATCGCTAAGTTTTCGAGGAGAGTGGTCGTTTGGAGCGTTGGGAAAAATCCCCGCAGCTCGGCAGTTTAGAATATAATAATGCCGATCGCGGAAGATCGTTTAGAACAACTACAAGTTCTAAAGTTACTGCAGTCTGTTCGAAACGAAGATGTGGAACAAATAGAGAAGCTGACGACTCATGGAGTCCCTTACTTAATCAATTACTCAGGTGAGGTTTACAAGAAGAAGTTGCTATTAAACACTTGTATATACCTGAAATGGTTAGTGTGTAGCTGTTTGTCGACTACAGTTATCGGTCTCCAGCCTTGCGCGCGGCGATAAATTTGCTGATTACACATGGCGCGAAATTTAATAAACGCTGGCTAATTTTGCCGAGAATAACATAAATGTCAGCTTGTTAAAACAGACTTTCATTGGAGTTGTAAGCGTAGCTGTTAGTGTTATTTTTGATGGATAGCAAAGAGCTAAACGTACATGTAAGCTAATTTATCGCTGTTTCACATGGGAGCGGGATCGTAGAGGACACTTTGCATTCTTCGTGATTTTGATTATTCCCAAAAAGTTTCTGTCTACCTTCATACCCTGTTCGCGCTCTTTACATTCATTGTAAAACAGCGCAAATCTTTTTGTATATACATAACACTTGTCTTCGATTGTGGACAAAGAAATAATAACAAAACAGCTCTACACGATCATCGCACGCAGATCAGAGGTCAAATCATTGAAATTTTATCGTTTATAGGTAGCGAATTTCTATTGTTTTTATGTTTTTTTTCTTGAAAATATTAAATCGGTGAGTGATTAACTGTCATCGAGGACTGAACGAAATTCCAAGTTAATGAGAGGTATTCTTCTGAGGATTTGAATACAACGGAGATGAATATAGTGTCATTAGTTCTATGCAAACTAAGTTGTCAGACAATTAAGCTTTTATGGGAAATCAATGATATGATCAGGACATTTATTAACCTCAAATTTCAATTTAATCATGCTCGTTTTGAAGAATTTAATTTAATGTATGTTGACATCTTCTATGCAGTTTATGTCAACCCTAGTTGTGTTTGATATACATTGTAATAATTATGGCAAACACATCTAGGGGTGGTGACCAGTTTACTTAACAAATAAAGAAGCCTAAGCTGTGTATTACACTGTGATAAAACACAACAGGCATTTGAGAACACAAGGGAAATGTAGAATACATGAGCTGCAGGCGAATGTTCGCTTCATTTCTTGAGTGTTCTCAAATGTCCAGAGTGTTTTATCACTACAGTGTAATACATGGTTTAGGCTTCTTCATTTGCTTTATTATAGATCTTACATGCCACGAGTAGAAACAACAAAGCACACAGATTGACAAACTGATACAATTTAATACCACTATTCAAAAGTGCTACATGCCTCGCCTTCAAAACTTTCTGCTGCTTTGCAGAGAACTCCATCTCAAATTTCTTCAAAGAGAATGTTTTTCGCCATCTCTAACAAAAATGGTATCTAGAGGTAATGTGGCAAAAAACAATAAAACCCGCTTTTTCTATGTGATAATCTGATAAAACATGGGTTTTTGACCAATCAGAGTGTACATAGGGTCCTATCTACATTACAATAGCCAATATAAGTACATACTCACAGTTTGTGACAGACTAAATACACATGGTTTTATGGAAAATACTGTTTTGATACCCCTTTCATGGAAGGCTTTTTTGTTTGAACTCTCCACAATTTATGCACCCCACTAGAAAATTCCAATTTAGCCACATGCCACAAAACCACGTAGTCAAAAAACATACAACACATGTGGGCTAGTCTACCTAGTAAAAGACTCTTAGTACATGTAGAGATATAGAAATCAATGAATCATGCTAAAAAGAGTTCAAATGCATTTGTATACATTACATCAAGTTGAGTGATACAGTTACAAATACAAGTGAATATATGAAAAATCATGTCTCCTTTAAGTTTTCATATATTGACTTGTAATTGGCTTACTTTGGTCATCCAAGATGTTGGTTCAGTTGTGTCTGTTGTATAGTTGCACCTGTAAGTTTGGGGTCAGTACTTTAGTATTGTCAATATTTACTTTGGAGTGACTCTGTTTTGGAGATTTGCTTAAAACATACAATGTAGTTTTAGCGTTGTTTTGGGGGGTCTATTTTTTTAACTTTATGGTAAAATAATTTTTTTGTTGTTGTTGATGCTTTTGTTTGGAATGTAGAACCTGAAAATGGGGAGACAGGACTTCATCTGGCAGCATGCAAGAACAATGAGAAGATGATCTCTTTTCTGTTAGATCTTGGTGCAAGTCCAAACATGGTGGACTTGAAAGGTTGTAGCCCTGCCATGAGAGCAGCAGAGTTTGGTCATACGCAGGCCTTGACTCTCCTAGCTGAGGCAGATACAGACTTGTCATGTAAGGAAAGTAGACAATAGATTTTAAGTGCACAGCTTTGCTGAAAAATTGTTGCTTGGTCCTCACTTTTACGACAAAAACGCATTTTAAAAATGTTGTGGGACTTTTTTATCTTTGAAGATATACTCAGTCAGTTAATTATTAACAAACAATATGCATCCATTTCTTTTTGCTTCTAGTAAGAGACAATGAAGGAAAGGGAATCCTGTTTTACTGTATCCAACCAACCAAACGTCATCTAGAATGTCTGCAAATTGCACTAAAGCATGGAGCAGGTGTTAATTATGTGGTATGTTACATTTTACTTACCCTGGTCCCAGGGGTTTTTCTTGATTTTTCTTCTTTTTGTGAAGCGGCGAACACGAGTCGCGAAGCAGCAAGAAAGAAAAACCTCTGGTTACCTCAGACTTGAATCTCACTTTCATGCAGACGCCAGCTGTCAAATGTATCAAATTGATAATTACAAAAGGGACCAATCGCAACTTAGCAATCACGTGCTTATCAGTCACTAATGGTTTCCACTCGGGTGGTGGAGAGTGGTATCACTTGACCTACTTGGCCAGGGTCAATGCGCGTGTTTGTAAGAATTAATGTTTTCATCCGCAACAGTCGCAAAGGTTCTGTCTTGTTAAACATTACTACAGAGCATGTTTCTGCACTTACTCGTTTTATAAGAAGGACTCAGGACTTCCGAATAGAAAGGCATAAGCTTCTTGTCTTCGCTGCTCAAACTGAACACTGAAATGGCACGGTTTCGCAGTTCATNTATTTTGCAAACAAATTCCTTCCCTGGTAGAGAGGCAAAATTTACCTCAAGAAGTGCAGTGACAGATATCCCCACCGTCCCCTCGGTATTACCAATCAAGCGAACCAATCATATTGATTTACGTGTTTGTAAAAATATCCACCAATCTGAGCCCGAGGGTCAGATCCTGACCCTGGTGTCTGCATGAAAGTGAGATTCAAGTCCAAAGTAACCAGAGGTTTTTCTTTCTCGCCGCTTCGCAACTCGTGTTTTCACCACTTCGCGGCTCTCTCGCAGCTCTCTCACAGCCCTCTCATGCGGAGAAAAATCAACAAAAACCTCTGGGACCAGGGTGCATTTTACTAACAGTACATGTACTTTCACTGTTCTCACTGAGAGTACAGTACACCTCCCAATAGCAATCTTAGTTGGATTATGTAGATCTGCCAAATTAAATTTACATACCTGTACGTATTTGTATATTTACATTTTCTGTTGCTGTTAACTACCTTGTCTCGCTTGTTTAAAACATCTGTCAAAATAAAACCATTTTGATCTGTTTTTCTTTGCCAGAGCAAGGATGGCCAACCTTTACTGTTAGTAGCTGCTGAGGCTGGACTTGACAACATTGTGGCAGCTCTTCTTATTGCTGGTGCAGACCCCAATGGAGTTCACGCGGTACATTATTATATAACAATAATAATAAAATTACTCACATGCCTTAGCAAGTAGTGCAGTCAACTACTAAGTAACCTTTCTTGAAAAGAAAGTAGTTTTTTGGTCCAGAGTTTAGTGAATTACTCTTCTTCCCTAACTGGATGACTGTATGTTTTTCTTTGGTAGAATACTGGCCAGACAGCTCTTCATGCAGCATCAGCTGCTGGAAGTGTGGCTTGTGTCAGAGAAATCTTGGAGGCTGGAGCTGACTGTGATGCTCTGGACAGTGAAAATTACCACTCAGCACACAGGTCAGGCATGAAACAAATAGTACACAACACAATGGATATTAGTTGTTGACATGAGTAACATGTCGTTTACATCCATCAACAAGCACCACAATCAAATCCCCATTGTCTTAGCCTCTTGAACAGAGTCATTCTTTTCCCTTGTCACATACTTCTCTCCAATGAGGGAAGAGTGCTTGGTGAGCTAAAGGATACATGTATCTGTGTAGGAAGCTAACATTTACTTATATTATATAGATTTGATGATAGCTGTTAGTCAAAATTTTTTGCAGTTTCCTTAAAGTTCCATTGATTGTGCTGTTATGGCGCCTTTGATTCCCAGAATGGGAATCGGCTTACATTTCTTTTCATGTGCAATTTTTGTGTGACTTTTGAATACAGGGCTGCTTTCAGTGGCCACTTTGATGTGATTAGAGTGCTGGCAGCTTATGGTGCTGATCTTGGTAAAGTTGCTTTGGATGGAAACACTCCTCTGCATTATGCTGCCCAGCAGGGATTTGGACCTATATGCAAATTTCTTTCACAGAGAGGTCAGTATCTTGTATTTTTGTAGATACACTGGACACAGTACAAAGGAACAAGAGGTACTTAAGGTGGCCGAACACAGTTTTCGCGCGTGCTTTTGCTGATGCAATTCAGCACACACACAAGGATTGCAAAAAACAAACATGCCATCAATAGAGCGATCATTTTATTTACTCAACACCCGCAGTATCTATGCTATTTTTCTCTATAGTTGAATGCAGCGTATTGATGGCTTTAGTCTTTTATTACAAAGATATGTTAGAAAAGGTAACGATGCAAAGAACCCAGCAATTCTCAGCTTTNTGTGAGAATCGTTACAAGCTTGTTGCATGCAAATTATAAAGAAAATCTAATGACTAGATTTTCTGCAAATAAACAAAACCAATTTTAAAGGCCTGTTTACATTTATTCATGTTGCCATGGCAACGGTACATACGTCAGCTTAACCATCAAAAAACCAGAGTTTGTGTTGTTAACTAGCTTGCTGCCATTTTTGACGACCGAGGGATCAAGGGTTTTAGAGAAAAAGGTGAGTGAAACACAGGTATCAAAAACTGTGTTCAGCCACCTTAACAATGTGTTCACATCATGCATGTATTCCATTTGCGGCTGATAAAACTAAATGGGCTCTCTTTATACAGTATGTGACCAAAAGTAATAATTTATTATTTATTGCCCTGAAGAGTTTTAAAATTTATTTATTTTTGTATAGGTTGTCCGTCAATGTTAAAGAACAAAGAAGGGAAAACACCCAGATTGTTGGCAAAGGATAATGAACATAAAGATGCTTTGAAAGAATGCCGCAAAGCTGAAAAACAGTCGGCGAAACTGGCTAAAGGTGCAAGTAGAACTGGGGAACCATATGCCATAAGAGTAAGTCTCTACAGTCAAACTTCTCTTTGATGGCCACTTTTACATATGCATACATATATTGATACATTTATATATGCTAAAATAAGCATTATTTTTTAATTGGAATCCTGGAAAAAATGGGTGTCATATTACACACCTACCTCCCCATAATGGCCACTTCTCTTCAACAGCCACTTTCCTTTGTTTCCAAGGTGGCTGTTGTGGAGACGTTCAATTAAATACTCACTAGTTTAAATGGGTCATGTGCTAGATGGTAGAAAGAACTTGGATATTTGCAGGAATTCTATATAATTTTATATTTGTAGACCCAATCTTATCATCCTTCTATAACGTTACATTTTTCAATAAACCCCCCTCCCTCTTTAGAGGATAAATGAAAGGGAATCTTTTACAATGTAGTGTTCATAGTTTATCTGTTAGTGTTTTCAAATATGATGTTGCAGATTAAAATCTGTTTCTCAGCATGGGATTTCTGTAAATTCTGAATTTTGTAAACCCAATTATTATTTTGTTATTACACTTGTATTTATAAACAGCTTTATGACTGGATTCAAGAACATGAAGAGAAAGTGCTGAATATTTGTCATCAGTTTGACCCAGAGGAAGAGGATGGAAGGAGAAAAGGAAAAATTACCAAGGACAACTTTGTAATGTGTTTGCAGACAATAAGTAAGTCTTCAGGAGAAAATCCACTAAAAATGTTCAAATACTACATGTACTGTACATACTTTATTTTAAGATTGCTATTGACTTTTTTTGACACAACATTTCTAGAAACTTTAATATTTTATTTCATCACAGAAACCAGACAACGTTAAAAGTTTATTAAATTCTGCAAAAACCAAATTCAACGAATGAATAACAATGAATGTTGCGAGCTTGGCTTGATTAATAACAGCCAAATCCTTCTGCACAAATATGAGCATTGCTTGTAAAAAATTGCAGTTTTAGATTAAACTTAGCCAATGGAGGTTTTGGACCTCTCACTTCAATTTGATGCATACCATCAATTTGATGCCAAATACATTTTGTGTCTTACACTTCAAAACACAATTAATAAACAGTGGCCAATTTCTAAGAATTGAGTGTCACCAGGATCACTATTTTCTAAAATCACAAAGTTGAGCTGTCACAAAAATTTTGCATAGTAACAAGTTCCAAGTAGCTTAATTTTTGTAGAATAAATTATTTTGTGGTAATGTTATTTGCTAATCACTGTTTTCATGCTGTCACATTGTGTCTGCAGATTGCCCTTTAGAAGTAGAAGATTTAAATAAATTAGCACAGATGCACGACCCCAGCAAAGAAGATGCTGTAGATTATTCATTGTTTATTACTTGTAAAAAGTTCATCAGTAAGGTAAAATGCTATAGGAAATGTCCATATTGCAGAGTTAATTCATTGGATATTTAGGAGTACAGCACTATCGTAGCAAGTCCATGTTAAAATGGATTTTTGTAGCGTTTAAATTTCAGATTAAGCTGCAGGTTTAATTTTGGTAATAGAATGGGGGATGCATTTCTCCAATTATTCGACAATTCACTTTGTTTTTGTGATTTTTTCCCATTAACATGTATTTGTTAATACAAGGAAGATTAAGAGTACTGTCAATCAACGTTTTCTTGTATCAATCATTCTCAAGACTGAGGTCGTTAATGCTAATGTCAAAGTTGTTATTTACAGATTGAGTTTGAAATGGAGTGCACTCCAGTATGTTTGATGCATCAAAACTTTGATTGACAGTACTTTTAATCTCCCCTGTCAAATGCTTTAATGAGCAACTTATTATCCGATTTGTTAATACAAATTAAAAAAGTCCTCTGCCTTTCATGAAAAAGACCTGTTACAGACTGGCTAAATTTCCTTTGTGTTAACCGTGACTTTCTGTTGGTAAATACTTCAAGCCCTGTATTGGCGTTTTTGCATATACATGTATATGTTAGTTCTAGGTAAATGGAGAGTTAAACAGGGCTGAGAAAGAACCACATTTGTTTACAGCTCCTAATTCTCGAATGTTTTACGTTAATTTTGCATTCATATAGTAACATTTTCGCAGCTGTAATGATCTTATCTACGATCTACAATCTTTGTACAATACAGAACAGTAGATAGATGTCTCTTCATCTAAGTTTAACATTGTTTCTTTTTTTTCCTTTTTTACTTCTGTTGCAGCAATTTATGGTTGTTCTTGGAAAGGTAAATATTATTGGTCAATCCTTATTGCTTTTATTTGTTAAAGGACCACTGATCTTACAGTGCCTTCAATAGGAATTGAAGTATGTGGACACGCAGTGCTGCTGCACACGCACACAAACATTGAAGACGTTTTTACTAATCGTTCCTTATTGAATTTTGTAGAAAAAGAAGAAGAAAGGTGGAAAGAAAGGAAAGAAGAAAAAGGTAATAAGACTTGTGTTTGCATCAGACCATGTGAAGATGCACGCGAGTTTTTGTTTGTTAATAATTCAGTGACAGAAGGGTGGATTTGATGAGAAATAAAAACATGTAAGGCCAGTTGGGCTACCTAGCTAAAAGAGAGTGAAAAGAAAGTTTTACGGCACAAGTAGTAAAACGCAGTTAATAGAGCGTGATGTGCAAACCTCGGAAACAGTTAGTTATTGTATCTAACTATGTTACAAGGCTGTCAAATTAGGTTTGGCACCCGCAGAAATCGAGTGAGATCCTTGAATGCTTTATTGTGTCAAGTGTTGCGAAAGATTGTCTAGTCTTATCACAATATGATCTGCATCATGGCAGCTTTCTATTGGTTACACCCATAGTCATGTCTAGTTATAAAAGAACCATTATTTAGTGTAAAAGCACTTCCGTTCGCTGGCGTGCTGTACCCAGTAAGCTTTGTTCGAAAGCAAAGATTAATGACACCAGTTTTGTACAAGGTGTTCTATCAAAGGCCTTTTAAATGAATAACTTATTGGTTTTATTTTCAGGGCAAAACAAAAATACCAATTCCAATTTGTACAGCACCTGATGGCCCTCGCACAAGACACGGAGGCCCTCCAGCAGACTTTGTAGAAAGATATGTGGTAAGTGCTAGAATTCTGTTCAGTCTGCACTCCAGTTGGTGTAGTCGTCTTTTTCTATGTAACTGGATCGGTTTATTGTACCTGTCCACTAACTTGCGCATTCAGGAATTGAATACGGTTGCAACACAGGCAGCCAAAACTCCGGGTTTCACATATCATTTGGTGCATTGTAATAGTTTTCCACGTTGATGGCAAGGCTGCAAATGTCTTTAAAATGTTTTTTTTTTTTTNCGGGGGGAAAGCAACGTTTACAGTAGACATTAGTTTTCCTGCGTTGCGGTCATAGCGATGGGTAGGTGGGAGCAGAGGTTCCATTAACTGTGAAAACCAGTTGCCCTCCTGATGAACCTGTCAATGAAACCCCTGGGAAGAGTATAAAACACCAAAACCATGCATTTATAAGCTTCAAGATTAATCTTGAGGAGCCAAAACAGTGCACAAGTGCTATCCATTCACTAACTCTCTTGTTTATTGATTTATTTTGTAGCACTTCACAGATAACACCAGATTTGATCGTGACCACCCCCCTTCACATCCCATACAAGATGACTCATCCTGGTATCTTAATTTCCCAGGTTAGTTTCCACTGATCATTTCGTTGTAATAGGAGGAAATGATCAGAAATGGTCTAATAAGGTAGAATTCCGTCTTTGAGCATTGCTAACAACAATGACATATCCGATGAGCAACAGACTCACGAAGCAACCTTCGGAGCGCTCACTCTATTCTGACTGAACATTAAGGTCACCAACTGTTCGGGTTTTTGACGACAAGTTCCCGAAACTCTCGTTTAACTTGATGTGTCGTACATGTCACTTTAAGGTATAAGTTAGAGCAACAAGTGAATGTTTAAGGATGCGTTTCTTTGGGAAAATCCAAGATTGGATTCTTAAATCCGAAAAAACGGATTTTGCTCTTCTTTACTAAACAGATTAATCCACGATCGCTCGGATCATTAACCGCCGACCGGTTAGCTAAATGGTAGAGCACCGGACTAGCGTGCGGGAGGTCGCGGGTTCAAACCCCGGCCGGACCAACACTCAGGGTCTTTAAATAATTGAGGAGAAAGTGCTGCCTTTGTAATGACATCTGCAAATGGCTAGACTGTCTAGTCTTCTCGGATAAGGACGATAAACCGTAGGCCCCGTCTCACAACTCTTCATAATTAATTCTGATCGAAAAGAGTAGGGGACGTAGTTCCCGGTGTGGTGGTCTATCTCTCATCTGATGGTTAAATGCTCGGAGACATTAGCGGCATAAACTACTCTGAAATCCAAGGGTAAATAAAGTAATCTATGTATGTGTATGGTGCATCAAAGGAACCAAGGAATTCTTGCCCAGAGTCGATTCTTCCGTGAGATCGTGGATTAATCTGTTTAGTAAAGAAATTAAACACAAAATCCGTTTTCGGAATGAAAAATCCGAACTTGGATTTTCCCAAAAGAACGCGCCCCAAGTCATTAAATTCGTATTTCTTTTCTTGAAATACCCGTCAAACCTGCTCAGGAGAACTATCTTATGTAGATACAGCGTTGACTTACATACTGTAATTGTACTTTTTCAGATATAACTTACGTGAACATTAGTGATGCCGCCAAAGTAGGAGACTTAGAGACGTTAAGATCATCTTTTGCCCGAGGAATATCTCCAGACCAACGAGACAAATATTACAAGACACCGCTGATGTCGGCGTGTGCGCATGGAAACATTGATGTAGCTATATATTTGTTACAGATTGGGTAAGTGAACTATCATGCAAAACTGTAGTGACATTTTGAGTGCAAGCGCTGTGCAGCTCAACGCACAATAGCCACCCACCTGATGGCAGTTAGTTGGTGCGGAACTTTCTCCTCCGCCATACGATTGGCGCTAATCGTATGGCCCCTAAAAATAATATAACAACACGCAATGACATATGCATTAAGGCGTTTCTTAAAACGTCCGTTTACAGCATGTTTCAGTAATTATTCACTTCCATTGGAAGTGAAACTAAGGCACGCTAATGCGCTATATATGCTGTTCAATGTTAGTTGTAATCATTCCCTGAAGGAGTCTCAGCTAGAGACGAAACGCGTCGGAACAAATAAACGAAAAGTTACAACAACAAGAAGTCGTTTGTGCTGCTCACTAGTCGCCGTTAAAAAAAAAAGTAGAATTCTGATTATGTTTCAGTCTTTATCATTATAATGACTCTGTCGTTAGGGCCGACATCAATGCACGAGATAATTTCAAGTGGACTCCACTCCATCACGCTTGTCACTCGGGCCAGGAGGATCTTGTTCAGCTTCTGCTTGAAAACGGCGCAGAAATGGATGCACAGACCATCAATGGAGGAACACCTCTGATGAGAGCTATTGAGAGCTCAAGAGAGGCTGTGGTAGAGCTGCTCATTTCCAAAGGGTGTGTTTGGTATTACTTCTTCAGATAATAGTTGTGTGGTAACTTATAACTTTATATGGATTTGCATTTGGGACGTTTTTGAACGGCTTGGGCAGAATATTGATGCAACTACGCGTAACACACTAAAAGATGATTAGATCATTGCATGTGAACTGAGTAGCACGCACGAGACGATTTTTACATGCGTGGCGTGTTGTCCACGCGAGACGAGAGGTAAACATGATGTGAATGTACGTGTGACAACTGTAATACTGTACGAAAACAATTACTCACAATCCTACAACATTTTATTTCACCTAAGCGACGCAACCCAACCAACATTCCACTATTTACCCTTTGTAGAGCTAAAGTTCAGCTAGAAAACAAGAAAGGGCACACTGCACTGGATGTTGCCAAGGCATACGCGGATCCTCGAGTGGTAGCTATTGTACAGAAACGATGGGACGAGATACCGCCACCCGTGGATAAGAAAAAACGTATGTATTAGTAGGATTGTCAATAACAGAATAGTTCTTACGGTTTTAAGGGGAAAATTAACCCATTTCGTTTGTGAATACGGTTCCATCAGCTTGAAACTTCTGGCCCCGGCTGTTCGAAGGCTGGATAATGCTATACCGTGGATAATTGCTATCCAGTAGATAGCTGGTTTGTTTTGTTAACACTTATCAGCTGGACATATAGTGTCGTCTAGCTTTGGAACAACTGTGGCCAGTTTTATAACCTAATTTGCAATTGCGTTTCTTCCCTTAGATGTCAGTGTGATACATAACTGGTACTTTCACAAAAAATTAAAAGCGTTTCATCGTCGGAAATGCAAACTTAGTCCAAAAAAACCCGTCAAGAATTTTTCTGCCATGAACGTGACCTCGAATAAAACAAAGCGACAACAACTCAAGTGTACGTTATTATGTTAGAGCTTGATAAAATGCTTCATTTTTTCCTTTCTTTCTGAGCTAATGCGAGGTTGCGACAATTAAATGAGCTGTTTATGCCTGCTCTCAAATGCAATTTTCAGTATAAAACGTAGTTAAGCTCTAGTCTGTTGCTTCCTACAATTTCGCTGCAAAAGAACCAGCGCTCTTTGTGACTGACCGTAAAGTAACAATCCTCAAGTGTGAAAATATGTTCGTTTTCATTTTCTCTTATACTTAACACTGCATTCTCCTTTGTTCTAATCCTATTGTGTTCTTTCTTTCTTTCTTTCTTTTAAGGCTTCTTTCTCACCTTTCCACAAAACTCAACGCACTTTCGACGGACTAAATCCACGGGTAGCTCAGACGAAGAGTCTTGCCGTGCACCTAGTCCCATTTCTTCTTCTCTCTCCATGTACCTTAACTATTGGGGCCTTTATTCAACTCCTACGGCGTTTTGGTTTGACTATCTCTATGGAAGAGATAGTCTCGAGAGCGGCGTATATACTGAAGAAGTGTTGCAGAAGTGAACAATACCTACTGCAGACGATATCGCATAGCATCAAGAGATTAATAGCATATGTCCATTATAGAAACAAACGCTTCTGTGACGTACAAAAGAGACACTTCAGCGTTGTCACATATATATGATGCCATTCTTGGTTTAATTATTAATGTGCCAATCAGCGAACTATAGACTATTTTCTCTACTTCGATTCTTGTCTCCTGCTTGCTTTAATACATTAACACTGTTCTAATCGCGCAAGTAGATAATAGCTCTCCCTTAACGATTATCGGGGCTTCTTATAGCATACAAACTTTCTGTAATTTAAAAGCTGAATTGAAAAGAAATAGCTATACACTTCTTATGGACTCCATGCCTACTAGAGTCTGTTTCTTTTACAAACTTTACTCTCTGGCATAATTCTGAGGTCACTGTGCAATTTCAGTCATTATTGAGTTGACATTGAACTGACACCCGCCGAATTTGCTACTCAACACTTCCACAAACGTTTCCTGTTGGTACTGGTCCTCGCTTCAGAGCAGAACATTTTGCTTGAGGGGATGACTTCCTCATATTTGTCTTGCAAAAAGATCGACCGTTGTTTCCCTTTGTGCTTGGATGTCTCTTACTTATTATAGATAGACAGGCCTTAGCTTTTTGTCACGTCTTGCGAAAGGGAATTGAGGTACCCTGTAACCTGTCTACAACCCCTCCTTCCCCTCAAAAATATCAGGGAGAGAGATTTTTTGGAGGGGAAGGGGCGGCTGTACACAGGCTAATACCTGGAGAGCGGACTTGTAAGTTTATTTAGTTAGGAGAGATGTAACGATTCTTTGTTGTTGGTAAAATAGTGAAAGAGGTCCGTTTTACTCTCTTGTGTTTGAGCTGATTGTTTGGTGAAACAGTTTAGGGAGCTGAAGACAGTCAAGATGCCGTACCACTCAGTGGCGTATCTAGGGGAGGGACCCGGAGTTCCGCCGCTCCCTGCCCCCTTCCCCTTTAATGACGAAGAGGAGAAAATTATGTCGGCCACTATCTTGATTTAACGCCCGATGGGTCGGGAAAATTTGGTGGGCCCACCTTATTAAGAGGTCTGGATCCTCCACTGCTACTGGTGCCCGAAATCGCTACTTGCTTTTTCTGTTTCCTTGCATTGGTATTTAAATATGCAAATGTGATCGTTACCTGTAAAAAGTGATGTAATTTAAGCGGTTTGTTTCTCTAAATATCAAGTCGTGTCGCTGTGCTGCTATCATCCGCTTTGCTTTGTCGTCTGGTGCTCTCGCTGCTGTGCTTGTAACAAATGCCGCCCTTTTCCTTGCCTCTTGTATGAAATCAAAGTTCACTGCCAGCTAGCTAAGTTGCAAATTATCGTATCCGTGTAACGAACTCGACGCCGAGCAAGATATTTAGGAAGACGACAGGCCAATGTGGATGAAGCGCACAAGACACTCCAAGACGCCCCGGTGATGACGCATGTGCATATTGTCTCACCAGGAAAGTTCGCACCTCGGCCCAAGTCTAAAGCGCAGTCCAGTGACGGAGAAGGGCTTGGTAACGACGGTGACGACGGCCCTGGTAACGAGGACGATGAAGGTGGTGATGATGATGAGTAGAACTGGATACGGGAGTTCAAGAAAGCAAACGAGTTTACCGGATTGTGATGGAAAAAAAGAAAGAAAAAAATTCGTTTAACAATAATATTTGTCAAGAGAATATCAGATTACGCTTCTTTAATTGTTCAAACTGTATTAGAGCGCAAGTTTTTTGGGAATTACGTCTTTGTTGGTACCGCTTTTAGTATTTGAGTGAAGTTGAATGTGGCAACTTTTCACTTTATCAGCGTCCTGTTCTAAACGGCCGGGAGATTGTTACGTGAAATATTAAAACAAGTAAGATTCAAGGAAAGTAAGAAAGTGCCGCGACCAGCATCAATTCAAATTCTTGTATTGGTAGGATAGTTGCGGTCAATAAGAAAAGTTCGATTTTGCGCAATGTTTCCATGTTTGTTCAGGTAAAGAAGATTCATTGTAAGTTGTGAAATGTTAAAAATGCACCGTTGAAATAAAAATGCACTGAATTAAAAGTGTTTTGAGTTGATCGTTCCATAATTCAACTATTTGTGTTGTACATAAATAAATGATAAGTGACTTCAGAAAGTAATCAGTTGGTTAAGCAGACAATAGATTGAGGGCCTCTTTACACGAGCCCGGGTTGAATCACCGCAGAGAGTGCTGAAATAAACACATTAACCGAACCCGAGCTGTCAGTCTCCAGTAGCATGTGTACCGACCAAAAATCTGAAAACATGGGCTAGAAAGATGACAAACAAAAACCCTACAAAGTCTAGTAAAACGAAATAGTGGGAGACCGTGATGTGCAAACCAAAAAAGACGAAAAACGAAACAAACATGGTTATCTGAGTGAAAGTACTAACCCCGGTTTGCCTTTGGTCCATAGTCGGGTCAACACGAATCTCGACAAGGGTTACCCGGTAAGAGGGGCTGACGCGGCTTGACCAATTTTTTCATGCGAACGCTTACAAGCATTTGACTGCCAAAGGGTTACCCTTCGCGATAATTAGAAAATCCCCGGGCTCGTGTGAAGAGGCCCTGAATCAGGGCATGTCAATTCAACGGGATGTGTTATAGCGGAGCGCCGATGATGGTTTGGGTTGTTCCGAGTGTTCTCCTTTCCCTGGGGTTCACTAGCTCTGAACGATTTTCACGACTCGACAGAGAAGCAAGCCCATGTATATTATAGTAGCTTTAATGTGTTACGGTGAGGGAGTATTGTACATTCTCGATTCAGCAGACGTCCCTTCCCGTAACACGAGGTACACATATTAACCCCCAAAACACGAAACTAAATCACGCAGCACTTGTCTCTTATAACGTAACGCTTGTCTCTTGTAACGCAACAATGGAGTTGCGTGATTACCTAGTCACCAAGGGAACTAGGACTTTCGCCAAGATTTGCAAGTTTCATGGCAGAGCTGCACGATTTCTAAGTTGCAGACGTCAACTCTGGTGAAACATGTTGCATTCCTACCTCTCTAGATGCGTTCGCTGTCTTTGAAAATCTGTCGTTGTGGTATTCATACGCATTACTCCTGACAGCCGCTAGATAACCATGTCAATTCTCCTAACCCATTCCCATCCATTTCCATTAGTGATAGCTCTGAGAATTTATTGTTTCATCAATGCGACAGCCTCTGCAAAACAGCCTGTAAAGCCAAATATGCTCTACAATCTTTTCCCTTGTAAACCAGGTGGAGGGAGCCCGCGCAAGAAAGGTCCAAAGTCAGCGGCTCCTTCTAAGACACACATGCCCAGTGTTAAGACAGCACAGCAAGATGAGGTGAGTTGATAGTAAACTGTGGCAAACTCCACCTGTTGAAGTGTTTTCCTTTTTCTTTAGAAACTTAAAATCAGAGAAGTGTTCTGCATGCTTTTGTGTCTTAGTCAACCAGTTTTCCAGGTTTCGTTAAATTTGCTTTTTGCATGTTTTCAGTTAATATCGTTAACTTCAGGATTTCTTGACGCTCGTGATTTGATTTAGTCTGTCCACAGACGTTTATATTTTTTCGCTTCGAGTTATTCTTCGAGCGTGCGGGAGATGTATTTGTCTTCCCCAGCCCCACCCCCTTGTGTTTTAGCGCGTGTATCCCACGCGCCGGGTTAATATTTCGCTACGCTTGCAATCTCGATGAACTCGAGACAACATAGAGTGTCCATGGACAGACTAGCTTTGATTACTCAGATTGCTTGACATCTTTGCTGTGATAAACTCACGTTACGTGCCGTTGCCTTCATTTCCTTTTGAATCTCTTTGTCGCCAGCCTCCATCCTCAGCTCCGTTACCCGGTGTTGCGGTTGTGCGCAAGTCATCAGTGTTGCGAGCGGCCTCGGCACTAGGAATCATTAATGAGAAACCTCAGCCGATCATGTACACGCCTCGAAGAGCCTGGATATCACAACCAACCACGGTGAGGAAAACTTGTAACCTTCTCACAGTAAAGACCTTTTTTCAGCAGTTATGTTGTTCATGTCGCAGCAAATGCATAAAAAAAGAAATAAAACTGAAACCAAACTTGGCGTACCAAGGATTGAAGGTTCTTTTTCAATCTTATAACATTTTCTCTATACATAATGGGCCACTTCCGAATTGCCTCTTGCCTCATCGTCAAAACGAGTCTTCGTGCAAAACCATTCAAAAGAAAATGTCTTCCGCCTGCATGTTCATTTCCATACAAATCAAACTCATGTTTCATACGAAAGGTTTTGCCCGAGGACTTGTTTTGAAACAAAGGCACAAGGTAACTCAGCAAATAGCCTATTGTACGACTCGAGGAATTCCAGGTTACAGATTTCAAGTTTCTATACTTGTCAAGTTCGTAGTGGCTTCAGTTTTTTTTGGTGTCACTAAGAGCAAAACGTAGCGTGGTCCCAGGTTCAGAATTGATTTTGTAGTCGTGTTTATGTTAAATATTGTTTTCTCTTGAATTAATTTCTTCTTGCACCTCTTGGTTGTTGTTGTTTGTTTGTTACTGTTGTTTTTTCTATGAATCAGTAAATTGCCTTAAAACTTACGAATCTTTCCTTTTGTTTCATTTTCTTTGTACTGCAGGAAGATCTTTTGCGCGGAAGAGAAATACGGAGAATGCGATATGGTACTGATATCGACTTCGCAGATTACAAGCCTTCTTTTCAGAAACACATCACAGTTAAAGCCGAGGCCATGGAAGCGGAGGACAACTAGAGAAAGCCATTCACAAGTCACTGGCGCTTGATCCACGCTTCTGTAGCCATTTGATTGGCAGATTGGCAGCTCAGTGGTTTTCTCTCTGGGAACCAGTGAACAGGAATCATCCGTCACGCGGGTCGTGTTGTGTGACAGTCACCTTACTCCACTGATTCCTAGTGATTTTAGTTTTTGATAGTAGTTAAGAAAAAAGTTACTCGTGCATAGTTGCTGGCCAACTTTTGATTTATCGATTAGATACGAGTTGACTCGCTAAATATGCGACTCATTTCCTTGGCCCATGGTGTTTATATTACTTCGCCGAAGTCTTTTTATAACTTAATTAACCGAACGATTTTAATTAACTTTTAACTGTATTTCGCTGGAGATGTAAACTTTTAAATTGCAGGGTTGTTAAAATAGCTGTTAAAATTTGTAAATGAAAATATATTTTATGTTTAAGTTTCTCTATTTTGTTGAGGACTGTCTAAAATATGCACTTTTTATGCATTTCCTTAAGAATGTTAAAGAATGAAAAAGTGTTTGGGAAAGGGAGATGAGATATTTACCAAAGTAAAGAACATTGTGTATATAAAATAATTATTTAGTTAGATTTTAAAAATGTTGACTGGCCAATGATAGTTTGTTTTCAGTTTTTAGTTGGAAGTTATTGGCTTTAGACGGCTCATTTACAGTGAAGACACTCGAGCCGTGAACACTTGATATTTGTTTGGACATTTTTTTAGTGACCAAATAATGCGGGCTCGTCCTTTTGACAGGAGTAATTACTGTTTTTACACTTAAAATGCTAACACTATACGGGATAAGAAGAGCCTTTATTCCATAGTCGTTAAAAAGAATGAACCCAAAAATGTCAAGTATTCACGGTTCGAGTGTCCTTACTATACTGTAATACACTAATTTTTTTCTTTTTGACAATGTGTAACTTACGCTGAATTTGTAGCTACCGCCCACGTTTGATGAGGTCATCTTTTTTATTATCCCTTTTATACCAATTCGAGTTCTAGGTTATTTTAATTTTTTTATCAATTACATCAAGTTCGATTAAAATAATTCAATTGTTGAAAATAGTTTTTACAGTATTTCGTTTTGCATGACCACAAAGGGCCAAGACAATAAAAAGAGATTTATTTACCTGTGTTAGTTTGTGATTTAGAAGCGATCTCTTAAACCCAGAATTCGTAGCATGACATATAAAGCTTCGAGGAATTCATAAACTTGATCAAGCGGGATGGAGGCGCGGTGGCCGCACGGTTCGTGCGTCGACTCCAGATCGAGAGGTCCGGGTTACTCTCACAGTGGATCTCTCCACCCAGGCGTATAAATGGCTACATGTACCGTCGAATTTAATGTTGTAGGGGATTATGGAGTGGCATCCCATCCAGGGGGGAGTAGAAATATTCCCAGTCCATAAGCGCCGGCCTGATGGGCCACTTGGCTCGTACGCGTGATGCAGACTTCACTTTATTACCTTTACCAAGTGAGAGCCTGATGCTACAAGACCAGCTTGACAATAGTTCCAGAATAGATTCTAACACAAAACAATTCAATAAAAAAAATGTTTTGAAAAACCCAAGAAATATTTCTCGTTTTTCGCAAGCGTGAAACTTCCTTCTCTTCATAAAGCAGGAACTTAAAATAGGAAACGCCAGCACGTAATTTTCTGAGCTCTTTAAGAACATAGACTATAAGACTCCCTTGCAATGTCGTGAAGAGTACAAAAACGTAATAGCAAAATTCACTCGCTGTTCAGACCTTCCGACTCGCACTACCTCCCTCTCCCCATACCCTGACTACCCACCCAAGTCTGAGTGTTTTGGTCGTTGCTCTCAAGAGCTATCGCTCGAAACGTTAACATTCAAAAAATCCAGTCATGTTTTGATCAAATTAAATGTCTTCAGTTGCCTTTTAATTTGAAGTGGTCTCGTTAGATAACAGATCTCTCTCTTGACCCTTTTGACTTTTGACTCCTTTTCTCTATCTTTCATTTACTGCACTCGTAAGAAGATCTTTGACCTAAAGTGCTCATATCATCAAGGCCCATCAAAGCTACAGATTTCCCTTTATCTCACCCTAGCCGGAGACTGTCCGGGAGACTGTCATTTCACTGTGTTGATTGTGCCGCCATTTCCTGTCTATTTTCGAATGATCCCGCACCATCACTCTTGAAGATTTTATGGTTGTTTTATCACTTTTATGGCTTAAGTCTCTGAAAGAACTTGCTTTAAACATAAAAGATTCCTTTTCTTTTTCTTCCGACTCTCTTTTCCTTCTGAGTATGAGTATACGTGAGTGAGCATACGCCTAGTCAGCTCCCATTCAGAATTGCGCGCTTTTTCCAGTCCGTGATCGTAGCATGTTTTTCTTAACATTTTCCGTCGTTTAATAAATCTCTTATTAACCGCGTTGTTCCAGACCGTACTGAAAAAATATCGCCTCCTCCCCGGTCTTTTTTGCGCTTGTCTCTTGGAACGCAGCAATGGAGTTACGTGATTACCCGGTCACCAAGGAGACTAAGACTTTCGCCAAGATTAAGATACTTACAAAGTATCTTAACTTTTCCAAGTGCAGAAAAGATGTATCTAATGGCCCTAAAATCATGAAACTAACATCAAAGTTTAAGGAAATAAGAAAAGTGTTCCCACCTTACAAATAGATTTTTTGGCTTTAAGCAGTCACGTGACCTAATTTGGATATTTTCGACATGCCAAATTGACACTAACTGATAACTTTTTGACAACTTTTTGACCTGGCAAAGTTTCATGCCGCTACAACTGAAGCTTCAAAAGATACACTACCCCCTTATTTTTCGGCTATATAAGCTGCATAAACGTGACGTAACAACGTGAATTTCCAACAAATTTATTTTCTTTGTTAAAGCTAAAGACAGTTTGTTTGACTTAAAGAAATATTAGAAGCAAAGGATTCAATTCTTGGTTTTCAGTGACGTGCACGTCACGCAAGTAAAAAAAAACAGTCGTCAACCTTTCAATAGATAAAGACAAGAAAATGAGATATTGTAGAAGAGTAATAAATAAACAACATCCCAAAGTCTCAGGGCTGTGCGATATCCCGTACTCGAGTTATTCGGCAAAATGTACCACTCAAAATCATGTTGGTGTCCCTCTGAGCGGCACCAACATGGTGGCCGGAAACGAGGGAAACTATCTGGAATTTACTTTGGCTATCTCAAAGGCTTTCTTCTCTCTGTTGAGCTTGTACACATTCACAAAGACGCTTCTATACTGACATGTTGGCTTTTCAGACCTCAACATTAAACACACGGTGAATCGATCGAATTTATGTACATGACATGCTTGTGAGCAGCCACCTTTATGTCACGCACTGAAAAATCTAAAATTTAAACTGCTCTATTTTCAAAACAAAGCACGCTACCGAGTGAAAACATACACGCAGACACATTTCTAAATTGTCTTTTTACGTGATGAAGACAAAAATGCAAGTCTGTTTACTTCTGAATTTATTTTGTTTATGTCATCTGTATAGCTGTCGTTGGTCTTGTAGTAACGTGATGAAAGTTGCTTATTCATCTCCCTCCTAGTGGCCGTTTTCATGATCGTAGTTTTGGTTGTACAGTTTCACTCAGGTACATAAGTTCTTATAATTGTACAAAGCAGCGCGCTCGAAATGGCACAACGGTAAGGCCTAGGTCTTCTAATCAAAGAGCTCCGCCAAAATACAGATACAGTCGAACCTCCCGTAAGCGACCCCTCAAAATGTCAAGCACTGGTGGTCACTAACAAGGGCTGCTCGCTTACGAGAGGTCAGACCTTAGGGGGTATACAATTAGAGATTTACTCTGATTTCTGGAGACAACAAGA